CTAAGTGAGTGTGTATTTTTAGACGTTGTCATTAACAACTGTTGCTATATCCATGTATACAAATCCGTCTTTTCAGGTATGCGGTCATTTGAGCTTTATTAACCTTGGACCTGCTATTTCAGGGAATTATCACAGGTTTAACAGGAAAGTTAAGTGTCATGGTTTTGTATTATTAAAAAAAATCTAATTTTATGCCATTTATGCAAAGAACTTAGGAAGAAATAAAAACAAACAATACAGTATGTTTCACTTATTATCAATGGGGAAGTTGGGTGGCAGCCACTACTGTGTCACAAACAGACCTCACTATAAATAGAAGTCATCATAACACTTGGTTTCCACTAATCGATTTCATTGATGTTAAGCTTGCTTTTTCCCCACAAACCCCGCCTCCCCACAGGGAGGTGGAGTACTGCAGATATTTGGACACAGATCAACAGATTTTCATGTACTGTCGATATCCTGTTATACAGCCTTCTGTCACTTTATATATTGATATACATTTTTCTGCCTACACTAAAAGCTCTGTACTTATTTTTTCAGAGCACCTTTGCTCTCTGTGTCAATACTGGTTTGGTGTCCTGTAAATATTAAGCAATCTCTTCACCCTCCCCTCTCAACGGAGAAGAAGCATCAACAAAAAAGCTGCTCCTTTTTGCACTCACTAAGAATTAGTTCCTCAGAATAGCTTTGCCCTTACACCTTCCTGCCTTTACTACTAAGTCTGTCATGTTACTATGTATGAGCATTCTTATGCAAATGTGAGTCTCAATGCTGCCTGCTTCTACCTTTTCTAATATTTTAGCGTGTGCTCATGCTGTGCTGTATTTTGTCAGGGAGTACTGTCTGTGTCCTCGTTCAGAGCTCCAGTCTACCTCATTGTCTGGCACACTGTGAAACGGTGTGACTGTGTCTGTTGCCTCCTCAGCGTCTATTTTGTCTCCCCACAGAGCATTGCATCATCAGCCACTCTTAGGGTCAGCAAAGGTTATTAAGAGTTCAGTTAATATCTGTCTAGACGTACTCACACAAGCCTACCGCCCACTGTGAACCAGCTCACACATTCACACTGATATTCTCATAAATGGAGGCACAGCATCAATGAAGAAATCCCTCTAAGTGTATTATTAATAAGCCAAGAGATCACAAAAGTCTGATATTGTTCGATTAATTGGTGATTATAAATCGGTTATTGTTGTGAAGGGCTGTCTATCACTCTGTGTTGGGACGGTGATGCAGTGACATTGTGTCCAAGGTGAATGCTGCCCTTTCTTCCACCACCCTGAGATGCTGAATTAGATTAACGGTCAAAAATATAAATGGATAGATATGACAGCACAAATAATGCATTAGTAAAACAATTTGCAGACAAAGAGTTTGCAAACAAAATGACAAATAGACACCAGAGGGAAAGAAAAACAGTTGCAGAGCAATTTGTTAACCATCAATTAAATGACAAAGCAACATTGAAACACACAGGCAGTTCCACATTTATGCTTTCAAATACAGAAATCATAAAAAATTAACATTTACACGTATACTGTGTAAATAAATGGGAGAGGCCAGAAACCTATTGTACTCCTAGTGTCTGTCTTCTATGTATGATGCATGATTTGAAGACTGTGGAACTACCAAAAAGACAGCAGTAACTCTGGTTAAGCAGTTAGAGAAGTAAAGCTGAGAGGGTTTGGACATGTGCAGAGGAAGGATAGTAGATATACTGGATAAGTGTGTTACAGAGAAGGATGCTAGGAATGGGGTGAGACAGAGGCAGTTGATCCACTGTGGTGATCCCTAAAAGGAGGAACCTTTCTCTTTCAGAAATATTTCGATATTCAGTTTTTAGTTAAAGTGTGTCATAGATGGGCCCACAATGGTAATTGTAGAGAGATTGTCTCAGACATGTGAAGTAATTATTTCACCCTGCATTATAATGACTGATTTTGGCCATAGTTACTGCACAAAATATTTAAGTATGTAATACTTTGTAATGCTCCTCTTATTTTGTTAAAACTTTCAACATCATGTAATTTTTTACATGGTGCATCTGTGGCAGGGACGTCAGTACTATAGATCAGTAAACAGAATAAGATCTAAGCACCATGTGCACCGTGAGATTTTTTTTGGATCAGACATCTGGTAGAGCAGAAGGTCAAGCCGCGGGTTATTAAGTAGCCTCATAAAACACCAGGGTAAATGGGCAGGATATAGCTTACAAAGTACATAAGTCGACGGCATGAAGCTGGGATCATGAATGCACCATGTGAGTCTTAAACCATCTATTTTGGCAAGCACTGTATGGGTATCACATACACAGGGTTATATTCTTATCTGAGATGGCTATAGCAGGATAAAGGGGACTAATTTGGAGCGTTATTCATACTGAAGGTGTATATTTATACATTTATCAGGGTGCATGCACCGTATCTTGTCCTGCAGTTAGCGTTTTAAGGTGGTGGATGGCTAAGATTAGATTACTCTAAGCTCCAACAGCCCAAACTAACAAGACAGATTGCTGCAAAAGGGTTGCCTGCATACTAGATTAAGACTCCAGGCCAGTGGGCCAGGTTTACAAAGATCTATAGAAGCCTTTAGCCAACACGCAGGCCTTTACCACTACAAGAAATGTGTTTAATTGTTTCTTGTTTTACTGTTGTGCAGTGGTAGAGACTATACTTTTATACTATAATGTCTACGTTTTTGTTTTCAAAACAAACCAAACTTTTTGCTAGTCCCACATTCTTCACAGATTTCTGGTTCGGCATGTTGTCAAACCAGACACGTACTCTTCAGATGAAATGGTGTGATAACTGACTGCTATCTGACCAAACAGATTATTTTCAATGTGCTGCCTTTGACAATTATCATACCATAAAAAATGGATCACCAGTGCTAACCTTTTATTGATTTCTAATCAAGCTATACAGTTAATGGTAGTGTTATGCGGTTAATGTTTCCAGCAATCAATAGCAACTGAATCTCTGGTTGCTGGTTAGGTAATAAAGACTCTGGGGGGAGGATACAGCCCCAGGGACACTTGTCAACTATCAGACCCAGCAAATATGTGCCTGGCCAGTTTGATTAGATTGATCCAATCGGTCTAGTCAGTTCGGCTGTAGTCTATTTGATTTAGCCTGAACTAATTTTAGTCACCCATCATTACTATGTCTTTGCTTTTCCTGATCAGACTGGTCTTTCACAATGAGAAACAACAAACACAATCCCGACTCCTCCCTTTATTGTTTTTATTGTTATCATATCAGACCAACCCAAAGAAGTATATCCAGAATAAACACCTTTTGCAAGTCAATGAGCATGTTGACGTTCACTAAGATACTTTGATCACTGCAAAATTGACAGTTTTTAATAGAACATATACAATATGACAGTTAACAAAAAAAATCCAAATGTGTTCTCTTATCAGTTCCAAACTGTTAGACTTGACTGCATGCAGTCTTTACCAAGCCAGCACACATGGCACAGTGTTTGGAGAAGGCAGCCTCCTAAGCTGACATTTACCTTTTGATATGGAGCTAAAATTCTCTGAAACAAAACAAGTAAAATCACCAAACCCAAAGTGGTGACTATTGTTAAACTCAGTACTAAACGCTTCTAGTCTTGTGAATGTAACTGGCCTGGGGTGTGCTGGACCTGTCTGGGATGACTGGGTTGAACCAGTCTGGTTTCTGCCTCCCGAGTTATGCTGTCTGTGCAGGATTTTTGTTCCAGCCTGACAGGCACCCACTGTAATTAACTCCCTGGATCACTCTGCATGCTCACTCAAACAGACAAAAAAGTGATGGGGGAGAGTACGGGTGCAGGGGGGAAAGTGGGGTGAGAGAGAAAGAGAGAGGGAGGGTGACAGGCAGACACATACAGTGATATGTTGACACAGACAGACAAGAGGGCAACAGCTCCCAGTTGTGGGATTCAAACAAACACATTCCCCTGTATGGATGGCAATATACGACTGAAGCAATAGCAAGGTCGATGTACAGCTCTGCTCTGTGAGGTGTGGAATTCCCTGGGAAAGGGAAGGAAAGAAGAGGGATAGTGTCCACACTGTGAACTTTAATTACCCACTCATTCAAGCTGCATTTGGACAGCTAATCCCTCGGCTTCCCTTTCTTTATGGTCACAGGAGGACAGGAGTCTGGTGCTCCCAGGCTGCAGTCTCACAGTAAAGTGGACAGCATCAAACAGCGTACTGGCTAGTCATGTACAAGTCATTTATCATCCTGTTCAACCTATATAGTTGTTATTGATTCCCTGTGTTTTAAAATAGGACGACCACTGTTTGAAGTTTTTTTGACATTGCACACTGCATTCGTTATTAGGACCAAATTAATGTCCCACATCAACTCTGTCTAATCAAGTGTATCATTGCCATCACGGCTTGAAGTCATTATTATTATGATCACTTTTGTTTAGTCAATGGCAACCTGAAAACATTGAAACCATGAGTAGACTTTGGTGATTTAGAGTAAATTGGTCAGATCATGTGCACCGAGTGACTAGAATGTTGCACTGAATGTTGCACTGGATGCATCTATAGGCGTGTGACCAGACCTCTGTGTATGTGCACGTTTGTGTGTGTTCATGTGTCTCCCTGCGTATGGTAGCTTAGCATTAGCTACATGGCTGCTCACTGGGAGGGATGCCATGGTAATCCTGTGTTTGGCTCATTGTGTCCCCCTCTGTCTTTCCTTCTCTTCCCCTTCACGATCACCTCCTGTGTCTGTCACTTTTCTTTCTCACACGCTGCCTTTTTCCCTTCTCCTAGCTGTTGCTCTGTGTGTCAGAATTACAGTCTGTTTGTTTTTCTCGATTCACTATCTGTTTGTAATACAAAATCTAATTAATGACTTAATCATTTTGGTTTGAAGCAGCCTGTTTTATAACAATTACCCCCAAAACTTGCTGTTCTCAGTAGGACTGGATGGGTGAAGTTTAACACTGAAAAAATGATCTCAAAAAAAGTTGTTGCTGATGTCATGACAAAAAACTGTCTGGTGGCAAAACACAATTCTAACATTGATACTATATTGATGCTACCTTTGCAAGCTCTGTAAATCTCCTCCAAAAAAGGGCAAGTCGATTATTTAAGTAGCTCTGAACAACTGCTGATGTGAACCTGTTTCAGTAAGTGTTGGGAGTAATACCAGAAAAGGTGATGAGGGCATTCCTGCTGCTTGTTAGTCCAACAGAAAGAGCCTGATCTCAAGGATTAGCCAAGGCTCTTGTTTTGGAATTAGCTCCAAACCAAACACATGACTGACTTTCCTCACACAAAGCCAGCAGTCAGATCAGATGGCTAACTGTAACACTGCTGTCTATTGTGAGGCTAAGAGTCAGAGGGATGCATTTCTTTGCTCCTCCACGAGGCTGCCTCCCACCATATTTAATATTCACACCATATAACAATGTTTCCCATTACTTCTCCACATAATTACGTTTGGTGGGCTACAGTGTGTAAAGGCTTTGACAGAAGAGCCATATTAAACATTTATAATAATTTGACATTTTCCTCCCACTTCAATTACAATGCATGAAAAAGACTTTCTCAGAGTGATGTTTGGTGCAGTCACCCCTACATATGCTACAGTCCTCCTATTTACTCTGTTCTCACAAAATACATCTCATTCATAATTCCATTTCATAAACAACAGACAGGCTGTGCTTTGTAGACCTGGTTACACCTAAAGGAATAATACAAAAACAAATAATGCAAACATTAATTTATCTTCTCCTAGTACTTGTAATCATGCATTAGACTGCATGATTACAAGAAGAAACAGCTTGTTTAATAATTTATTTCTACAAAGCAAGGCAGAGGCCGTTTATCCCCTTCATGATGTTTCTTTCCTGATCACTACGCCTATGACAAGCATTGATACAAACCTGAAAAACAATAATCGCCTTCATACAATTCGGGTAAATGCATGGCATAGTCTTTCTGATAGGACACCTATCACAACAAGAAGATATGCTGACAGTCTATTCTATTATTCATACAGTCCTAGAAAAGGCAATGCCTCCACTTTCACTGTGTGCTGTCACTCAGCTACAAGTGATGCTCCTCGTTTTCACCTCAGTCTCCACGGAGCTGCAGTCACACAGTCTGAATAGGAAGCAGACTACGTGCTGAGATTTCCTGGTCTCTGTTCATTTTACAACAGTAATACTGTGTTTAAAATTCTGAAGTGGATAAATAAAGTATAAGTATTATCAGTAAACCTACGGCATTGTGTTCTTTATGTGCACTGATTATAATAATAAAAAAAACAGAAAACAGACTGTCTTACCTGAAGTTCACACCAAGCCACCTCCACCCAAGTCTCGGTGTCTAGGCCTTTATAGACGGTCTTGAAGGCTCCTCTGCCTAGTTCTATGTCAAATTTGAGGAACCTTCCTCCAGGAGAGGTAGCAACAGCTTTCATCTCTGCCTCCTCTTCCTGTTCTCGGTCCCTCTCCTTCCCCCTCGGTACAGGTGCAGATGAAGGAGCATCTTTCCCAGGCTCATGGACCGAGCTGGTGCAAGACGGTTCATGTCCCACGGTTGCACAGGATGAAGCAACCCCATGCTGCTGGGGACTACTACTAAAGACTGAGTCTGATGAGCGCAGCTCCAGGTGGGGGGCACTGTGTGATGCCAAGGTGGGCACATCCACCTCGTCGTCTTCCTCACAAATCTCCACGCTCTTCCTGAAGAAGCGCTTCTCCCTTCTTAGTCGTTTCTGACCTGTATCGATGGGCAGGGAGGGTGTGGAGAATGAAATAGGTCTGAGTACGGTCTCCTCCTGGGAGGCTTCTCCTCCACCGCCGCCTCCTCTGATTCCTCCATCTTCTTCTGTTGCTGCTCTCCCTGCTTCTGTCTGGGAGGAGGATGAGTCCATAGGGGTGCTGTCTGTCCTCTCCCTCTGTTGGTCGACCCTGCCCTCCCACTCCGGGTCCTCCTCCTTCTGTCCATCAGGTTTCTCCGAGGAATCCTCGGTGCCTGCGGGCTCTCCTGGGTCAGTAGCCATGGGGAATGGGCTTTCCCACCCCTGCTAGACCTCCTCCTCCAAACCTTTGTTCCTCCGTCAGTCCCCGTCTCTCTCTTTTTCTGTGGTCACCCTCTCACTTATTTTAACGTGTTAAGAGACTGCTACAGGTGAAGGCTGTCCTTGATCACACTGGTCACTCTGTCACTCTTTTCCTCTGTCGTCTTCCTCGGACTCTTTTACTCTGCTGCTTTACAGAAGCACAGAAGCAGGGTGAGATCACAACAGTTGGAAAGTTTCTATCTTCACTTTCCTTCTCAACATTGCCTACATTTTCTTCAGGAGCGACTTGTTCAGTGCTAATCAAGTAGAATCAGACATCTCTGGGCTCAAACAAACACAGGAAACCAGGAAGGTTTTTTTCAAGCCAGCTGGGGTAAGCAGCACTGTTATTATTTCAAACTCTGATGCGGAAATCTTCAAGTAAACCTGCAAGACAAAAACAAAACACAGTCGATTGACATATTTAAATCAGAAAAACACTGGTACATTATTTATATTTAATAAGATACACTTGGAATAATATAATAGCCCCAACAGCCCAGTGTGAATGGATGGAAAGAATGACTTCAAGATATCATCATAATCACATAGAGGGTGAACTTTAAGAAAGACACGTTTTCATCTGTAATTTTAACACAACAAACGCCTCAGTTGTGTACAATCAAACCAAAGAGTCTCTGAAGAATATCCCGTGAGCCTGCTCAGTGATCACACATGGTTTCATCAATCGTCAATCACATGTTTACCAGAGTCTAGCGTCTGAAGTTGTGCTCAACAGCTCCATTAGTGAACAGAAAGCTGCAGTTAGGAGTATACAATCCCAACCATTAAAAATGGATGATGAACTATGGGCCAGTTCGGTTGAGTGTGAATAATTCATACTCAGAGGGATTGTTGAACTGTATGAGAGACACTATCACACATATGCAACAAAAGCCTCATAAGATTACACAACTGTGATTATGATTATCATCACTACAGTATTACTCATACCCTGGGAACCATTTAAAGCAGTGTAATTTGAAACTACTGACTGGCCCTTTGGTAAAGTGAGGCAGAAGTGAACAAAGTTTCTTCTGAAATAGTGATCTTCCTATAAAAAGTACCTGATTGCTGTTAGTTTTTTGGTTTTTTTTGGTGATTTTTGTGTCATTGTGTGGACAGAAGTGGGCAGCTTTCCAGTGGCATCTTTATCTTCACTTCTCCTCTATCACTCCCCACCTGTCCCATGGTATTGTATCTCCCCTGCCTTCTTACAGCAAATTATCTCTAAGTGGCTCATAGCCTGGAGTTGCTTTGGAGAGTGTATCTTAGAGTCAGGGTTTAACTACTAATAAAAGTTGCAATAAGGCCCAAAGTCACCTTATGACTAAGCATTTGAAGTTACAGGAAGAGAGCATACTAATGGATACCAACAACAGCCATACACAAGGATTGTTATGGGAATGTAGTGGATAGGAAGTGCAGTCCAATTCAAGATATTAACAAATATAAGTTTACACCTTCACACATATTAATTTGAAAGTGAACATGTGAAACTTACTGCAATAAGGCACCCAAACAATCTGTGGTTACAGCGACTTGGCTATGAAGAAACGGCCTCAGACCCTGAAATGTCACAGTAGCAAATCTGAACTTGTCTTTAAGCTCGAACAAAGCCCACGGTTACCACAGGGGAATCATCTGGAAGCTCACAACAGCCATTATCTCTTTTATTACAATGACATTAACACTCACATCAAGCCTATTGTGTCTCCAGGCTCAAACGCAGCGAGTCTGAAGTGCAATGCTAGTAGCTGTCAGTCAAACTAATGCACAATACACTGTCTGTAGACTAACTGCCTAAGCTCCCGAAGAACAAGCAATTCAAGTTTAGCAACATTTCCAAGGAACAGACACGTAAGCTAAGAGAGAAACCATCATCAGGATTAAGCAAGACACACCCAAATACTATAACGAAAGAAAACATACATTGTAAAAAATCATCAAACAATAACCTTTAAATGTGATGTAATATGTTGTTATTTAGGCTGTTTTCTAGGAATCCAATTGATGAATAAAATATTCAAATATCCACCAAATGCAATACTTCCATCTGTCTTTTTTCTTGCACTTCTCCAATTAAACAGATTAAGTAATAAAGAAAATGGATCGATCAGCAGCACCACTCAAGTGAGGGTTTTTTTCTCTTTCTATAGTCCAGCAGCTACTAGCCTGTTGTTAATAGTAAATATGAGGCTATTCTACAACCCAAATTCCAGTTGGGACGTCATGTAAAATGTACATAGACTGCAATGCCGTAAACCCATATTCTATTCGTAGCAAAACACAGAAAACATATAATTTTGAATTTGATGGTAACAACACATCTCAAAAACGTTGGGACAAGACCAACAACAGTGTGTAAACATCTCTGAACTGAGGAGACTGGCCACTGGAGAGCAATTCTGTACCATTCTTGTCTGATATAGGATTCTAACAGTCCTGGGTCTTCTTTGCACGGCAGAGATTTAACCCACATTTATGGATGGCACAGTATTCATGTACCATTTCTGGCAGTGTTTCTGAGCCAATTGAGTTGTTTCCATAACTGAATGCATTTAAAACATGCTCATGATCTTTTTGAAGATCATGAGCATGAAATATTGACTTTTTGGCCTTGTTCCTTGCGCACAGATTTCTACAGATCCTGAATCTGTTGGTGATATTATGTACTATAGATCAGCGGTCCCCAACCCCCGGGCCTCGGACCGGTACCGGTCCGTGAGTCGTTTGGTACCGGGTTGAGGCTCAGGTGTGAAATGTATAGTTTTCAGGGTTTTTATCGGTTTTCAGCGTTATTTTGTTTTTGCTTTTATCCTTAACTCGGTTTTCCTGGGTCTTTTCACGTGTGTTATGAATAAATCTTCTTTTTTTCGGTACCGGTACTAGTTTTATTTTGTTGTATTTATCCGCGACACCTTAAAGGCCGGTCCATGAAAATATTGTTGGGCATAAACCGGTCCGTGGCGCAAAAAAGGTTGGAGACTGCTGCTGTAGATGATGAGATAATGACAAAATATTCTAAATTTTACATTGAGGAACATTATTCAGAAATTGTTCCTCAACTTTCAGATGTGATTTTTATTATTATTATTTTTATTTTTAAACTTCTGCCACTAAGCTCTTTTTTTATACCCCAATCATGTTACTGATCTAATTAACCTAATTAGTTACATTTAAACTTTACCGCTTTTTCAGAAAGGGCTTTGTAATATTACCCTTTTCTGTATTTTCTAAAAATTAATTACTTGACATTACTAAGAAATGTGTTTGTTATTATTACTTTTAACTTTTGTTTAAAAGAAAAACATCAACAGTGTTTGAATCAAATAGTCAATTAAGTTGATAGAAGATTAACTAATGTTTGCAGCAGCATCTCCCCTGTACTCTTCATTCACTAGCTGCAGGTAACGCTTCTGGTGAGAGGCTCTCAGCCTGTAGCTATGTTTAGAAGAATCTGTCAAATAGTCAAGAGTGTACTTCTTAATGTTATCAGGGGAGAAAAGAATGTGGGGACAGCTGCTATTTTATTTATCCTTACCCTTTAGCAAGACTAGGCACCCTACACAGTTAGGTCCATAAGTTTCTGGACAGAGACACTTTTTTGATAATTTTGCTGCTGTATGTGACAGAAGTGTAGACTACTTTAAATTACGTGGTTTTGCAAAAGTATTTATTTACTGTTTAGGAGCTCAGTATTTTACTAATTACAGCCATTATAACATGCAAAAAACGACACAAAAAATAATGGAGAAACTGAAAAAGTAAACAGTTTCATAGACAGATGAAACCAAGATGAGCTTCTACCAGAATGAAAGGGAGTGAAAGGTATGGAGAAAGAAATAAAGAGCTCACGAGCTAAAGCACATTATTTACAAACATGGCAGAGGCAATGTTGTGGCATGGAGATGTATGGTTGCAAGTGGAACTGGTCACTAGTGTTTATTGATAATGTAAATGCTGATAGAAGTATTAAAAACAATTGTTATATCAAACATGTTTTTCATTTCTTTTTTCGGCCTATATAGAAACAGCTGTAATTCCTAAGCAGTTAATGCAATATTTGTCTTAATCCGCTTGAAAAAAAGCTGAAAGTATGCACTTCAATCACTTCTTGACTGATCTGGTGTACAGAAGCACGGCTGTGTCACTGTTTCATGAACTAATGAAGCTAACAGTATGTGTTTAAAATTCAAAATTGAGGCCCTATTATTTTGTATCCAAATTTAAAATGATAAACACAGAAGAAAAATAGCAGAAAATCCTTGTGCTTTAAAAAGCTGAATCTAGTAAGTATGAAATGATTCAATTATCATAACATGTTTCATTTTCAGTCGTTCACTCATTTAAGTGCTGCTCCCTGTACCGGACTATCATTAGATAGACTAAAAAGCATGCATCTAATCGAAGACTTGCTGCACAGTGATTAAAAAAACTACAGAAAACTGGGTATGTTTGTGTAACCCACAGAGGACATACTGTAGTGTACAGTGAGTCTAAAAAGGTAAAGGCTAACAGGATGTAGGGAGCATAAAGGGGGAAAAACAACAGCCGATAAAGAGAGGGAAGTTGCCCTTTAAGCAAGAGCTTATTTGCCCATGTCCCCAGGGCAAGGAGTTCCCATGAAAGCCACATACCGGACAGAGTTATCACAGCACATCAAACACGTTCAACCATCACTGTCTCTCACACCCGATCAGTCTCCCTTCCAAACACGCCCACATAGACTCACGATACAGATATCAGACGGCAGGTTAGAACAAACTTTCTCCCTCTGTCCCTTCAGCGCTCTTTGTATCTTTTATACACAGACAAAAACCACACACACAGACACACAACGAAAGCAAACTGTCACTAGCACCCAAACTGCATGTCCCCTTTCAATGAAAGAATGCCGAAAGGAATTTCCTGACACCAGCCAAATGACCAAGCAACTGCCCGTGTGGGCAAGCGCGGTAAACTAAAGTTGAAGATAATAAAACCAACGCTGCAGCTAAAACTATGACATCTTGCTTTGGCAGCAAAATGACTCTGGTGCGTAGCGCGCATCAAGTTCCCGTGTCAGAGTCGTTGTCTGTTCAGTTTTCTATCAGCGCCGAAGTACATGAGAACTAAACAACTGACGTGCAGCGATCCTCCCGCCCTGCAGGCTACGGTGAGGCTTCTGCACGGGAGAACACCTGCAGCTGCCTAATCATTATTGAAATGTGCACCAAAAATCAATGTGACAACTTTGCTTCAGTGATGTGATTTCTGTTCTATTCTCAACACCCACTGAAGCCTCTGTTTGTTTTCACTTGTAACTTTTACCTCTATGCTTAAAAGTGTGAAGCACAGGAAAAATGTGCTCTGTGTAGTCTAGACAAACATATATCTTTAAACACAACAAATATGCTGCAATCCGGTTGCACAACTTCCATAAATCACTTCATAGGGAAGCAGAATAATCCCTCAAAACAAAAAGCCGCTGAAAAATTAAGCAGGCATACAAAGGAAGAGCCAGGGGACTGTGTGCCTGTGTGCGTGTAAGCGCAGACGGCTATGTTTTTGCAATTGAGGGGGACATACAGATGAAAAAAGAAAAAAAGAGCGCGACTATAAAGTGGCGAGGGGTACAGCAAGGGATTGTAGTTGGTGGGAGCGGGCGGACAGCAGAGGCAGAGGGAAGGAGTGAGTTGAGTGGGGGTGGGGTGGGGGGCAGGAGGGGTGGGAAAAATGTGTGTGTGAAAGAGAACAAGAGAGCGAAAAGGGAGGGCGGTGGGCTGGCACAGACAAAAGGTGGGGGCGGCCTGATAAAATATGTGCCAATGTTTGTGTGAATGAAAGCAGTGACTATAGCTAAATTTCTGCACCAACAAAAGCAGCTACAGTTGTGCACGGAGAGGAGTGGAGAAATGCCTTTAGTGTTTAGAAAAGGCTGAAAACACGAGGTGATTATATTAGCGCAGGAATAGTTTCCAATGGCGTGTTCTGTGTCGCTGCCCGACTCGGTGCAGGAGGCTGAGGGAGAGCAGGTTAAAGGACCATAAACATATAAATGTACTTTAAGTGCACGCCTAAAAACAGAATTAAATTATTAAAAAATATTTAAATAAACAGAGCTCAGTTCTCCATTCATCATTAATCTCGTCATTTTTAAAGCAATAAACACCAAATGTCCTGTCGTGACTCTTAGGACTCGCTCTTCTTGGTCTCATGTGAGCGGTTATCTCACACGGTTAAAATAAGACAGAAGAGGCCATGTGAAAATATTACCACTGGATTTAGAAAACTGTGAATTCTTCCACTATTTTTTTTTATTTTTCATTTGCATAATGTAGATCAAAAAAAGTTAATTAAGCAAATAAATGGGAGATTGCGCTAGCTGCTCTGGAAAGGAAATGATAATAACGCTATTACTACAGAGACACAATTACCACGGGGCAAAAAGTTTTTCCAGCAACTCGTTCTTCATTAAAAATAACAAAACGAATGCCTTTTAATCAAACTTCCAAGGCTAAACTGGTATTTCAGATGCAGTTTAGGCATGAAGTTATTATAGCAAAGTGTATTATCAGGTCATTTGCATGTGTCTAGTCTAGTCAGAGGCAGAACTTTGCATACTATCCCTTTGTTGATTTTCTTGACTGAATGAGCACGGGTACAGTGTATCAGGGAGTCAGGGATAAGTAGAAATGTTTAGAAGATCCAGTTGGCAAGAAAAAAAACAAGAAAAAATCTGGCTGCATTTAAGTGACTGATTCATTGAATATGTCTTGTGTGCAGATCAAAACCTAACCGTATGAAACCACTTCCTGTCTGCAACACTAACTTTTCCACACATAACCAATACAACAACTTGAATCTGTCCAAATTATCACGACTGCAAATTCGTCCCACAGAGATTTAAAGAGGAGATGGAGGCCGAGTGATATGGGGAGACAGGCTGGGGGTAACACAAGGTCTGAGAGCTGCTGGCCAAAATTTGAATGGGCCCAATGTGAAGCGGAAGCTATTTAGAACAACACAGGTCTCAGCTGTTGGCCACGGATAAACTATAAAGGCAGATGTGTCTGTGTTTAACGGGTATAATTACTTTTTAAATTTCACTACAAAAGAAAAAAAAGTTGAGACTAAAGTGATTATTTCTCCACCTCGACTACACAAGTGCTTCCGCACATGTTGCTTTCTTCTCTGAAGCCCAATGAAAAATATCGAATCCTGGTTACCAGGATCAAACACACAATTATTTGTTCTCTTCCCATTAGGGAAACGCAAGGCTGAAAACACAACAAGGACTTTTGTCCAATCCAGGTCAAGCATGGGAGAGTAGAGTGTAGGTAGCACACACAGAGTACTGTTCACTGAGAGAGGGAATATGTTATCTAACCCTGTTTTTTTTGTTTGTTCTCTTTCATTCCCCTTTGCGAGCAGAGCTGTCCAGTTCTGAGAGATTCCTATGGTCCAGGTGCGGGAAAGGCTCCTTAATCAGCCAAAGTTGAAACAGGATTACATGTCACTAAATTGGCTTACCACTCCTGGAGTTCCTATGAGCCTTCCCATTCCCTCAGTCACTGAACTTTCATGGATGCTGGAGTACTCTGAGCTCAGCATAGTGTTGATTTCAGGAGTTCAGCACCTGTCAGCCTTTTTCTTTTTTTTAAAGAAGGAAGTGCCCTCTCTAATGTTTTGGATGCACCACTACTACTCTCAGCTGGATAAAACCACTGTTTTGATGTAGATCATTGGTGAAGTTAAGGGAATGCATACATTTATAAATATTATATCAATACCTTTTGCTGCTGATGGGAGACAGCAGGTGATTTTCATTTTTTAACATTAATTGGCAAATTGCTTAAAGCCCCCATGATGTGGCCGGTCACGCAGTACTCACTGGTTCGTGTATGTTATTCATAGGTATATAAATACATGGTACCAACACAGTGATGCCTGGATGTGCATGCACCATGATGTACAGCTATTGGCTAGCAGATAGCTCAGCTGACTTTGGAAACGCCACGCATAACATAGAGTACAATCACGATACAGGGCGAGAGCATAGTGACTGAGACGGCTGACACCATCACAAATAAATAAATAAATAAATCATCAAACCTCCAGGACTTGCCCTGAGCACAGTTCAAATCACTCGAATGATGGGCTCACTGTTGGTGTGTGAGGGCCCGCAGGTCTGCACTTAAGTGTTTTAACACCGCGTGAATTAAAATGGAATATTATGTGGATGATAAACACCTCCTGAGCGATCTCTTAATGCCCAAACAGACGGACAAAATAACAACAGCACCCCACCGGGGCACCACAGTCCAGTAATCACGCAAATTACTATCTGCACTGTAAATGAAAATAACAACAAACATCACTCACCCAAATGCAACATCGCAGCTCGTCGGTCCAGCGTTTTTTAGACTGAATAGCTAGCAAACTCACAGAAAACTGGATATAGTAGGCTATCTATCTACAAACCTTGGTGTTATTTACAGGAGATTTACACTGGACTTTCTGCCTACAAAAATATTTTACACACGCTCAAAAAATGTATAATAAAAAAGCTTCGGCAAAACAAAAATAAAAATTCCGCTAGGTTCGCTTGTTGCTGTCGTTTTTTTCCTCTTTACATTTCAAAGGCTTCTCGCGGTGTTGTCAGGTTGAAAATCCCCACCGGAGTCGTCGATCCTCGGTCTGTGTGAGACACGGGCGCGGAGCACTTGGGATACGTGTATCCAGTTTAGACGATGCTTGCCGTTGGTCTACAGATTTTCTCACTCGCTGCTCGGTTTGTCGGCTCAAAGTTGACCAACACGCCATTCATGTGTATCCGGAAAATATCAGCAACTTATGTACATAATTTACAACGTACGAGTCCAACGGCCTTCTTCAGTTTCTCGCGTGTACTGAGCGCGCGCCGCCTGCCAGTTCTCACTTGCCACAGGGCTCATCATCAGCCAGAGGACGAACACAAACCGACAGTTAGCTTACTACGCCACTAGAGGGCGATACGCCGCGTGTTTATGTCCGCAGTTTATCGTGTGGATATGGTGATGCATTCAAATGCTCGTCGTAAAAAATCTGTTCCAGGGGAGGAAGCAGGGTTTTCAGCGGTCTTGCAAAGCCAATTGAAACATTATGTGTGACTGACAGAGACACGACTGCATAAATCTATATACTATTATATTAAAAAAAAATTAATTCAAACACTATGTTTATATGTGTGTTTGTTAGCTTTTCGTGGAAGAAGTATTCAGTAGAACTACAAGAAATTTCTCAATTAAAAATCTGAAGTTTAAAAGCAAAAGCATGAATAGAGGTAAAATAATAAAAAGTTAAAAAGCTGAAAACTCTAAATAAATCATGTGCATGTTATACTTTCATTTGATACATTAGACCATGAATGACTAACTCACGTTACCTCGTACATACATCCCACTTTGAATCATTAGAATGTCTTTATATAAGAAAAAGAAGCACAGTTTCAACAGAACATGACCGTTTTTTTCCTTTATGATATATAAATACTGCTGTAGTTAAAGAAAAGAAAAGAAAAAAGTGTCACTACTCTTTGGCCTTAACAGTATGAACTAACAGTGTCAAGCCCCCCCAAAATTTCTATAAATTCCTATTTTTATCTCTGTCGTAAAAAATAATGTATTGCCTTATGAATTTGGTGTAGCAAGAATGAGCAAACGCTTGGCCTTTATCAGTAAAGATAATTCTGTAAAACTTATATGAAAATACAGTTAAAAGTCCATAATTTATGCCTTTCTCATGTTTTCCAACGTTTTTATTGGGGTCGGATTGGAGTCTTTTGACACGCCTGCATCACATTATTCATGCTTTCATTGCAATTAGTATTTTTCAGTCATAGTTGGTTAAGGTGAAGCTGATTTTAACTATAGCGTTCATTCTCTGTTCTGTAACAATTCACCACATTATACATATAAATCAAAATAGAAACTTCTAACTATCAGATAAAAAGTACGATATTGCACCTCCACCACACACACAACTTAGTACAAGTGCAAAGTAGCTTTTAATATAAATACTTACTATTAAAGAGAAACGCTCAAGTACCTCAAAATTTATTTTAGTGCAATACTGGAATATAAAAATTAGTTTCTACTACTCGTGTAACTGCATATGGACACATGCATGCATATACATCTATGTTATACTGCTTTTCTTGCAAGGTATGACGCTAATGACAAGATTTCCACGAGAGCAAAAAGTCTTTCCGGTCTCTATCCAGCACTGAATTTAGTTCTACTTTTGTGACAGTGAAAACAATTCCCAATCTAATTCTAAAAGATAGAAGTCAGGCATTTGGGGTGCAGATTTGCTCTTCTACCTCAGGTTTTCAACCCCAGTTTGTGCCTTTGAACGTCAAATAACGCATATTGCGAATTCACGATTTTTCTCCCACGACCTGAATGCCTCATAACACATTTCAGTGAAACAATGAAATTGATCGTGTTTGACATTACTACGTTACAGTGTACCGATTCAACGACCATCGCTATTTTTTGCTGTCACTGAACTCCCTGTCAAAGCAGAAACAGTGCATTCAGTCCGAAGCTTTTATTCCCAGCAGAGCGTATGCTTAGTGAAGCAAATGCCTTGAGCAGGATGAACCGAGTAACCCCAGTGAGACTTTGCCTTTTGTCGCCCTCTGGTGAATTTCTCCAAGCATGGCAGATGACTCAATATTAGGGCCCACGGGAATAAAAACACACTGATTTCAGAACATACTTTATTCATCATCATTGTTGTCACAATAAAAGCACAGACTGTAATCTTTTGTAGAAAAAAAATTACACTTTGGTAGCACAACCTAATTCAGAAAGGCGACTGAAACAGACTTAACCATACAGAGCGATAGAGAAGAACTAGGTCTTTACACTTTATATATATATATATTAGACTTTCAAGAAGCAAAATTAATCCGTTCAACATAAAAAGAACGAAAAAATAACCAATCAATAACCATACCAATAATCTTTAAGCAAAGCAAAGAGTGTAAAGATGCCTGCAGGCCTGGGACAACTTCAGAACCACTGGCAGTGCTGTGATGAACCCACACAAATAGTTTGCTTTCTGTTTAAGTATTAAAAAATAAATAGTTTTATTAAAGGACGATGACAAAGACTAATTTTAAAAAGAAAAAACAGACGAAAAAACAAAACTGTAAACTTGTGATGAGCAACAACTAGTGTACATCAGGTTCTACGGAAACAATGGCAGCTAAGCACTATTACTAATGAATTTGACATTACACAACAAAAATATGTTAAAGTATGAAATATAAAATACGTCCACAGACCCAGTTTTTCTTTCTACTCTGAATTAGGGTTTCCAGCATGAAACCACTAACTAAGATGTTTATTTTTTTTCTACATCATAGTATTAAACACTTATCTATGCTGTTGCTCAAGTACAAAAAACAAAACAAACCTATAGGCAGTCCTGAAGAGAGAGAAATGTACCTATTTCCAACAATGGCTTTGGAAGACCTACTCTAGCTGTATTCATCCACTCATCACTGTTACACTTTGGTTATCTGACACTTGCAGTGTTTCCTGTAAGATTTTTTTCCAGCGCTCAGGGAAAGTATACCTGGGTGATGACTGAAGTGAATAAATCACACCGTAAATGTCAAAAAAGCGGTGCCGTACTGGAAAAGAAATGTAAGAAAATATGTACAGAGGGCACTATGAATTAAGTCATTGGCAAGTTTGCAGCCTAGCTGGCAGCACGTTCTTTTCCCTGATAAGTATCATACACATTGTGTGTGTGTGTGTGTGTGTGAGTGTGTGCATTTACCCAGCCCTAAAGCCTGTGCATTTTATCTCTGCTCACTCTCTCTTTTCTCCATCTGCCATCACACTCATCACCCTAGCAGAACATTCATTATCAGTCAACATTATCATTATCAATTGATTTTGTTATTGTAACGGAAAAAAATACATTTATAGCAACTTAAAGGAAACCACAAGTTTAGCCTTATATATGTGGACATACTGAGTTCACCTGATAGCTCTTTCTATAATCCATACTTGTCCATTGGTTTTTATAACCAACAAGATAATTAGTCTTCATCCTCTCATCAAAGCTGTGTACACTGACAGACTGTTTCATTTGAGAGCAGAAGCAGAGGAATTGCGTAAGTCCAAAAGCTCTATACATTTGCATAGTGAGAGTATAGGGCTGCCTCGATCTACTAACTTTTCCATTTCTTTTTTTTCTTCTCAGGTGCAGTAATTTTCACAATGGAAACACTGAGTTGGACTTTGAAGTTTCCCACAGCCTAACATAATCTTACTTGATTCCAAAGCATTACTTCAGCTCAAAAGTGGCTCACAAAGCTTAAATCAAAAATCCTCTACAGCAGGTTTCAGCAACTATCAAGTCGAGACGATCTTCGCACTGAGCTCGTGCCTCTGCCATGAGAGGACAAATAAAAAAGTTATTTGTGGTCCAGAGCTTGAATTTTGTCACTCGTTAAGCAGTTCCTGGACCTTCTGACAGTTCCTCCCGGTTCTGTTGCAATGCATACAAGGGGTACCAGGCAGAGTTAACTTTCCAGTGGTGGCCGCAGAGGAATACAGCCATCCATCTCCAGTGACTCGGGCCAGCCTTCATATTTGTTGCTGCTTTTACTGTTTTTCATACGCTAAGGGGGAAAGACAAACATAAATGATGTCAGCAGAACAGACTGGGATCAGGTTCCTATAGCACAGTAGCTGCTGAATAATTGTACACAGAGTGCTGAACCTGACTGCGTTTTTCAAGTCAAAGGTCACTGTTGAAAAGTATGCATTGGGTTTTTCCCCTATTCATCACAACCCATTTTGAATACCAGACTTCAAAAAAGCCATTAAAAATAAATAAATCTGCATTATCATGTGGTAGTCCAGATGCAAAAAAAACCCTAAATCAAATGAAAAATGCAAATATCTTATTAGCCAATCACATGGCAGCAACACCAAGCATGTAGGTACAGAGTTGCTACCATGGCCAACACGACCTGTTGAACTTTAAACTTCAGCAGTTTAATCTTTTGTTTTTTTAAGCAGGTTAATGTTTAAACTTCTGAAACCCAAAGAAAGGTGACTTAAGTGACATTGAACGTGGCATGGTTGTTGGTGTCAGACAGGCTGTTGCGAGTATTTCAGAAACTGCTGACCTGCTGGGATTTCCCTCAGCAGCTCGACGCCAGAGAAGAACTGACACACTGCTCCGAGTAGAAATGCAGCATTAACTTAAATTCTGACTTGTTAAAATGCAGGTTTACAGAAGAGGATCTATAAATGTTGAACTTTAAAGAAAATGGGCTACAGTGGTAAAAGACCACCCTGGGTACCATTCCTGTCAGCTAAGAACAAGAAACTGAGGCTACAATTCACACAGGGTCACTGAGTTAACAATAGATGATGGGAAAAATGTTTCCTGGTCTGATAAGTCTCGATTTCTGTTGCAACATTCAGACCAAAGGGCCAGAATTTGGCGTAAACAACATGAAAACATGAATCCATCCTGCTTTGTATCAACAGTTCAGAATGTGATTGTGTGCAGGCCTTTAGTGCAAACAGAGCCTCTGCAGTCTTAGTCTCACAGTGCACCTTTGGGATGTGGTTGAATGGAAAAACATACATCATGGATGTGCAGCCAACAAATCTGTAGCAACTGTGTGATGTCATCACATCAATATGGACCATAATCTCAGAGGACTGTTTCCAGCTGAATCTTTGGGAATTAAGGCAGTTCTGAAGCCTAACAAGGTGTACCTAATAAAGTGTCCGGTGGTTATAGTTAATGCTGTTTTGTAATACTGTTGTGACAGTTAGCACCTTATGCACTGTGATCTATTCACACAGGAAGAATATTTTCTACTGAACATTGGCGTCACATCAAAGACAGCACGCCGACTCCACCTTCAGCCCTCGATCAGCACTAATAGTAAAAGGAACAAACCTGCTCAAAGGGACTCTTATTCTCAATACCCTTGGCTCCAACAAACACCCAGCTGTCTCTAAAGGCCAAATCCTTCACAGCTGTGCTCCCGAGCTCCTCAAAAAGCCGTCGAGACTCATCATTCATCCTGACACAGTGAAAAATACAAACAAAAACCCAAAGACAACAAACAAGTTTAGAGGGTTTTTTAAACATGCTCTCTGCACAATTTTATTTCAAGAAACCCACAAAGTTACACTTTAATAACCATCACCCAAGACATCAAGAATGATTTGAATCAGTCTAATTTAATTCAGGTCTACACTTTGTAAATCTAATTTAAATCTAATCATGAAGTCGGTGTTCACATGTAGCAACCCCGAAAAATCTTAAAGGTGAAAGACTTTTGTGTCAAGCCTCCCATTCACTGTCACATTATCATACATTCTTCCTTGCACTGCTCAGTGACTGTTTCACTTGTCAGGCTTCCCAGATAAATGCATTCAAATGTATTTTATAGCAGAAATTAAATACATGAAAATGTGACAGCACATGAGGCAAAATCCTCTTCGTTTTACTCTACTAAATATTTATAACACAATACTTCAGAATATGAACTATTCCCAGGTTTCTATTAAAATTGGCTAATGTGAAAGGGGAGGAACTGGGAGCACAACACAAATCCTTACTTTGTAGCTGCATCATCAAAGGAGGCCACAAACACAAGTGTTCCCTCGTGAAGAGGCCGGAGAAACTTCAACAGGTCAGAAACATCTGAAAATGAGCATCAAATGAGATCTGAAGTGCAGTTTATGGGTTGTTACTGCCAAAGTGTATGGACTACAGGATATGAGAAGCATATTAAACATTAATGTCTGGTTTTTATTACCTCCTGCCCACATATCAAAGGTTTTCGTCTCCAAAAGCTCGCCAGTCACCCCTGGAGCAAAGATACATCAGTAAAATGTTAAAACAGCACCATAAAAAGGAGCTAAAAAAACAAAAACAATATATTTTACTAAAACGTGAAGAATGAGAGTCTTACCATTCACCAAGGCTATGTTTAGTCCCCTGCCAACATTGTTCTTCACACTGCTCACTAACCTGTTAGACAAAACCACAAGGCTTATAGATAGCTATTTAAACTCTTATTCACACTATGTAACACTTATATGGGCCAAGACAACAGGCAAAACGGTGAGAGGGACCAGCAGAAAGAAACAATACTTGCATTCAGCTCCCCAGACAAGCTTGAAGGCCTGGTTATGACAGCACAGAGGAAAAAAACAGAACAGTGTGAAAACAAAACAAAACAAAAAAAAGGGGGGAAAAGGAGGGACTAAGGAGAGACAAAGACATAGATGAAGAACCAGAAATAATTAACACTGAATCTCACATCTTGTCCTCTAGGCAGATTTTAGGGCCAATGACGTTGGCAGCACCAGACACCAGACGGAAAGCCAGATGTTTTGGAGGACAAGGGGCTGAAAGTCCACATTTATATTTTCTTGGGTGGGGTTCTGTTAAAAAACATGTTGATCATAAGAAGGAAGATAAGAATGCAACTTTGTGAAAGTATTAATTAATGAGTAAAGTTATGCTGTACAGTTTGCTTACCTGGTGTTGCTTCTTCACTTGTACCTGAAAAAAAAGCAAACAAACAAAAAACAACTGATTTATTGATTAAACTTAGCAACGTTATATTCAGAAAATCCAGCCATCAAACATGCATCAACTTTAAATTAAATTAAATTATTAAAAACTCTGATTGCAGTTTACCAACTGCTTGTTTTGACCAGTTAGCAATACAAACCCAAAAGATTTAACTCACGTAAAACAGACCTAACAATCCAACGTGTAAATTCATATTTTCTTCCATGTTTGGTAAATTTTATTTGCTTGTCAGTTAACTGGTTTCTGCTTGATTCCTCTTACCGCTGAAGAAATGCAGCATAGATGACGCACTCTCCCCTCCAAATAAGGTGTTTGCCAGCAGCCAGGTGAAACCCACCAGCAGCACCACAGCCACAGCTCGCAGGGGGCCTGTCACAATAATCAGGACACATCAGCTCAGGCCAGAAACATATGGGTTTATCAATAAATCCCCATTGAAAATATCAACCCACCTGTTAATCTCATGCTTCACTCTTTCATAGACCTGGGGAGAAGAAAACCATTGACATTAGAGTGGCTTAAGTAGTTTAACAAGACAGGAGACTTTTTAGTTCTTATTTAAAATACCATCTCCCAGCTTCTAGTTATACCAAATATTATAGTCTTTGCCTGTAGTCTACCTTTAGCTTTAAAAGATGATAAAATTTGAAAGAAACACAGTCATGAATAAAAATTTAATTATTTTAAATTATTTAAAAGGGTATTTTTCCTCTGTGTGACGTTTCTCTTCCTAGCTTTATGTTTTTATTTATTAATTTTTTTTACAGTGGCCCTGCAAAATGGCTCTGCAGAGATGACGTTTAAAGGTTAGAAAATGAACCCAAACAATCTCAGAGACGAGACAGTGAAGAATAAACCCTTAGCGATGTTGTCAATTACATTTCTACTAGAATTAGAACCGGAAAAGTTCACTTGTTTACCTTTACGAGCGAGGATCGCCTTGTTTTGCCGCCTTTGCCCGGCTGTAACGAACAGTAACGAGGAGCTGTTGCTCTTGTCACCCTGGACTTTTTGCTATTTCTTGCGCTGTTTCCTCATTGAGTCGTCCCTGACATAAATACGCTTTCAGTAAGAAGACAGGCTGAAGTTGGTATCCTCTTTCGACATGGAACATGGAAAAAGACCTGGTTTAATTTAACCCATTTGTCTTCCGGATATAACCTACAGCCCACCCCGAGCCTTTTCTACGGACCTCAACCCGTCAGTACAGAGTCTGCGTGAAGTGGTTCACGTGACCAAAAAAAAAAGATTATAAAAATTATTTTTAGTGTTTGTTTTTTTTTAAAAAACTCAAATTCTTACAATATATATCACACTTAAGAAATAATAAAATAAATAAAATAAAAAAAAGGAACAGTTTTTCTGGCACATCGGCTCCTCTTATTAAACACGCGATCAGCACTGCAAAACCAAGATGGCTGCCCACAGTGCCGTACTCTCCGCGTCCAAAATAATGAATCCTTTCTGGGTTGGACGCCTTGGAAACACTGCTAAAGTAAGACAAGACACGCAGCCCTTGCTCTTTCGCTTGTGAATGGTGTTGCGTGGTTCTAATTTAAACTCCGTTATAATTTTTTTAACACAAGGTCATGCTGTTAACATCATTTGATTAGCAAAGCTAGCGGGCTTTTCCGTTGGTCACAGGTTTTACGGCACCCGTGCACCTGATCCGTTGACAAACACGCTCTAAATCATTTGCACTTTGTATTTTCCAGGTATTTGGAACAACTTTGATCAGACACCGGAATAAGACCTCGTTTACTGTGAGTGTGTCAGATCGCTACATGGGATTGTTGTCAGTTTCCGGAGTTTCCGGGCTGTTTTGCATTGGAAGTTGTTGTCTTTTTCAGTGTAACTTGGGAATTGTGTGTATATATGTGTTTTTCCACTTTCTTGTGGGGTGAAGGTTACGACACTACTCTGTTTGCCACTATTTGGACCAAACCTGTTCTTCTAAACATCAAACTGACTCTCGTCTTTCTGCTTTCCTCTGTTCACCTTCAACAACAGGGAGAAAACATTGTAAGTAGCTGACTCGTGACACGGTTCACTGCAATTCACTGCATCGTTTCTTAAACGAGAATATTTTCTATAACGGGGTTATGATATAGAAAAAAGATGTGTGATGAGAATAAAAACACTAGCATTGTCAAAATAATATAACAGGTTTTAAACATGTTGCATGGATTGCATGGAAATTTTGTTACCATCACTTTCAACTGGAATTTCTAACCATCTTGATTCACAATAATAAACACAGTAATGACATCATCAAATCTATTTAAATATTTGTCAAACCTAAACAACACTATTAACTGCCTGACAATAATCTCTCAAACATACTTACTTGTTGCTCTGGACATGTACTGGTTGATTTTTGGCCAGTATTACTGCTATTAATACTAATACTACTATTACTATTATTCTTTTCTTTTGACTTCAGAATTCCTACTGCTTCTGTGTATTAAAGTATTGCATGATATTGTCAACCCACCACAGTGAACATTACTACACCATATCTATTTGTTATTATGTCATTGGTAATGTGGACATAAGCAGACACCAGATACCAAAAACTATCAAATTCACTGTATACCTTATTTTCATGAGATTATTTGTAGACTTAGAAAGGTAAACTTTTTTTTTCATAACATATATTTACTGTAGTGGATGATTTGTCTTTAAAAGGTGCCAAACCTTCAATTTTCTCTATTTATTGAAGTTGATTCTTTGGCATTTAACAATCTTCTAGCCCCCTCCAGCAAAGTATGGAGGCAGGCACACTGTGACCCTCATACCTGGTGATGGGATCGGTCCAGAGCTTCTCAATCATGTCAGAGAAGTTTTCAGGTTGGTTAGATTGGATCTCAGTCCTGTTGAGTGATTACACATCATCTACAGTCACATAAGAATTGAATCCATTGTGTGTTTTGTGAATATTGTGCTGCAGGTTCGCCTGTGTGCCAGTTGACTTTGAGATGGTGAATGTCAACTCCGCTTTGGAGACCGATGATGACATGAATAATGCCATCACTGCCATCCGGCGAAATGGAGTTGCCCTGAAGGGTAAGCAAACAGCTTCTTTTCTTTTCGATCAAAGTATGAAAGCATGAAAAACAGAACATAGCTGTAAGTAGAGTATAATTTTTAATAAGACAGTTGAACTAAAGTAACTGTGTAATTGCTTACCTCTTTTGATAGGTAACATAGAAACCAAACATACCCTGCCAGCGTCTGTCAAATCCAGAAATAATGTGCTGCGGTAAGTTTAGATGAAATCTTTAGTTTCCTAGATTAGGGTCATTTTTTTGTGTGAAATAGCTCTCATTTCTTACATAATTTGGTCTTTTGTGTGTACTAACAGCACGAGCTTGGACCTGTACGCCAATGTGATGCACTGTCAGTCCCTCCCCGGGGTCCAGACTCGCCACAAGAACATTGACATCATGATCATCAGGGAGAACACAGAGGGAGAGTACAGCAGTTTGGAGCACGAGGTCAGATGCAAGAGGAAAAACAATCAATACTACTGTCTGCTGAAAAACATGTTTATGGTCCCTTAAACACTTCTTATCTGTCTCTTTTTAGAAAAGGGAATTGGGTGCTATCTATGCATCATTAATTTGCCAAATGAAATAACTGTGCAAAATCTTTTGATTTGGTCATATGATAGAATTTAATATCGACAACATTGACTTCAGATTGCAACAGATAAAATATGATTATCTGAAACTAAAGAAGACTTCTGGGCTGCAAAGAAACATGAAAATCCTGCATTAGATCCACATCTGCAGCAGACTAAAATGGGCAGTGGTGTGCCGGGATGTGTACCTGCTGTGCATGAAGCTACCACGGTGCTCAGAGGTTTACACTGTGAATGTTTTGGTCATTTTGGGCTTTCGATGATTTCTTCTAAGTGTTTTTTTTTCAAGGTGGAATGATTAAACAGTATACATCTTTAATGACTTAAAAAGAAGGAATTGGGTGCACAAGTCCACATTTATTTCAGTTTCTCTAATGCACACATGGTCAAAGGTATACACTCAGGCTCTAACATAGTCCATTATTTGTTTATTTGTCCCTTAGTTGTTTGTCGGTCATGGTAGGCTTGAGCCTTGGTGGTTGTACCTGAACAGTTTCCTCTCACCTGTGGGTGACGGTTTGGGTCTTCCTCCAGATCTTGGTGGAAGTGATGACTTCTCTGAATAACTTGTACTCATGTACAGTTGTTTGAACTGAGGATCCTGGAATCTGCTGTTGTTTAAAATTCTTCAGAGAGATCTTCACACCTTGTGTAAATTTACAGTTTTCATTCTTAGATCTTCAGTGAGTTTTTTCAGAGTGCTGATCGGTCCAATGAGTGCTCTCAGACAAATCATTTTTGCTCTGGTAAAGAGAAAGAACCAGTAGTCAATCATAATGACTAAAAAGTTGATACTCCTTGACCTTGGCAAGTTAAAAGACACTGAAGAAGATTCAGCACCACTTATTAAAAGATTTAAGTAAGTGTATGTTTATATTTGTGCCCATATTTATGTTCTGGCCGTATGTAAATCAGAGAAACTAAATAAAAACCTGTGCACCCAATTCTTATTTTTTTTAAGTCATTAAAGATGGATGCTATACAATCATTCCACCCTGGGAAAACAGAACAGTTCAAAGAAATCATTCCGTTACATTTATTCTGTATGATGAATGTATATAAACCTCTGAGCACAGTAACTGTAGTTGTTGAGCCATGTTTGCTTACACAAAGTGTTCCATTCACTTCCATACAGTTATAGATGCTGTTTTACAATTTGTACAGAAACATATTGTTACATTATTAACCACTTAGTACTAATTAAAATGATTATTTTTTTATTTACTGCTAATTTTGTTCTGTTTGTTGCACTTAATCATTTTTGAATGTTTAGATTACCTTGTAGATAGAAGTTTTACTTTATGTAGTATTACGCGTAAGTCTTACAGACGACACTTTATTCCCACTACAGTCTCATTGATCTTTCTTTTTCATGTCACTGTATTTCATTTGTTATTGTCTTCTTGTCCTACTTCCAGAGTGTATCCGGGGTAGTGGAGAGTCTAAAGATTATCACCAGGAATAATTCCATCAGGATTGCTGATTACGCCTTCAAACTGGCCAGGGAGAGAGGTCGCCGCAGGGTCACTGCTGTACACAAAGCTAACATCATGTAAGTTACCTTTTGGGAAACGTGTCCTGTCAAACACGTCTGGCCTTTTGTTTACTACGGTGAGTTTCTTAGTCCTGGATATGCTGAGTGTGGCATTTGTGTTCCAACAGGAAGCTCGCCGATGGCTTGTTCCTGCAGTGCTGCAGAGAAGTGGCCTCGGGTTATCCAGACATCACATTCGACAGCATGATTGTGGACAATACCACAATGCAGGTAACAGGTGATGACATTTTAGGGAATCCGGGGAATGTTCTTCTTCTGATTTTATTTGTTTTACTTAACTCCGTTTGTGTCGTTTAGCTCGTGTCCAAACCACAGCAGTTTGATGTGATGGTCATGCCCAATCTGTACGGGAATGTGGTGAGCAACGTGTGCGCAGGGCTGGTGGGAGGACCTGGCCTCGTGCCTGGGGCCAATTATGGTCGTGACTATGCTGTCTTTGAAACGGTGAGTGTTGGAGGCTTGAATAGGTGTTTGTAGGACACTGTCCTCTTAGAAGTTTGAAGGATGGAAAATGTATGAGTCATATCTGTCTGGTGTTTCAGGCCACAAGAAACACAGGAAAAAGTATTGCAGAAAAAAACATTGCAAACCCAACTGCCATGCTGCTAGCTAGCTGCCTGATGCTGGACCACCTTAAGTAAGCTTTTCCGGATAAAATTCTTCTTCATTGGTTTTCTGTGTGTGTTGGTGTGACTGTATTATATTTAAATATTTTTTTTCTTCTTTGTGTCTCCAGCCTTAATGATTATGCAAGTCTGATCCGGAATGCAGTCCTCACCACAATGAACGAAACCAGGGTGAGCCTTCCTCACTGATGGGTTCCTCACCTATCGTGCTGCCATGAAGCTCACAGGCCATTGTTGCGTGACATAGGATTTAAGGCCGCAGTGACAATTCTGGCATGCTTCCTAGAAGGCATCACAATACATTCACACAAAGCAGCATTGTGTCCCTTTTCCTTTCACAAAGCTCTCGTGCAGCTCTACA